GGCACACCCCTCCCACGTTTCGTGCCCCTGCAGGGAGCTCCACCCAAGGCGCCAGAGAGAGGGTCCAGATGCGTCGCTCCGCCCACGTCGGCACACCCCTCACACGCTTCGTGCCCCCAGAGGGAGCTTCACCGAAGGCCCCAGTGGGAGGGTCCAGATGCGTCCCCGCGACTCGTTTCGGCACATCCCTCGCAGGTTTCGTGACCTCATAGGGAGCCCCACCGAAGGCCCCAGTGGCAGGGCATGCGTCTCCCCCACCCAGTACAGCGTTTGGTGGCCCCATAAGGAACTCCACTGAAGTCCCCAGCTGCCGCGGCCGCATGCTTTTCCCCATCCAATACAACGCTTCGTAGCCCCACAGGAGCGCGGCCGCATGATTCTCCCCCACCCAGTACAACGTTTCGTGGCCCCATCGGAAGATCCACCGAAAGCTCCACTGGCGACGCTCGCGTGCGGACCCTGGGCCAATTTCGGCGCACCCTCATATACGCGTCGTGGACCCATAGGGAGCTCGACCGAAGGCCCCAATGGCACAGTTCGCATGCGCTCCCCAACACAATCACCACCACCACCGCCACCACCACCACCACCACCACCACCACCACCACCACCACCACCACACCCCTCACGCGTTTCGAAGCCCCATCTATGGGGGCTCCACCGAAAGCGGTAACCACAGCGGGGTCCTCACAACTGCATCTGGTCGGGCCCTTCGCCAGGATCACCTCTTGGGGGGCAGCGTGGGCCCTACGGAGGTAGGGACTCCTTCCCCAGGGGATGGCTTCTCGTCCCGAACAATATGCTGGCGGACCCGGACGCGGTACAGTCATCGTGCTGCCATACAGTCGGGCCCTTGACCTAAGGAACCCTAAATAAGGAACGAGGCCCCTTCTATCCACAAGTTGAACTTCGACTTCCCATCGAAAGCCAAAGGAGAACCCGAGGCAAACTGTGAAGCAATCAAGGAACACCGAGCCCCGCCCCAACGAAAAGGGTTCCTTCTTCAGCGGCCCGACTGTGGGGACTCCTTCCCCCAGGGATGGCTTCTCGTCCCGAACCAATCTGCCGGCGGACCCGGACGCGGTACAGTCACCGTGCTGCCATAAGGAAAGCAGAGGAAGGAGCGATGCGGCGTTCCCGGCCACGGCCCGGCACGGCCACATTCGGGTTCGCCGACCTAGGTCTGAACGGCGGCTAGAAGACCAGAGCCCCTCCTGAGCCAACAATAATAGTCCCTGCTTCAGCGCCGCGGCTGCAAGGGCCCACCCCTCAGAGGCCGAAAACGGCCCAGAGCCTTCCATCGTTTTTCCCCTGACCATCCTGTGGTGTTGTGGGTTCTCGGTTTGAAGAGGCAGCGCCCCGCGTTCTCCTCCTCCTCCTCCTCCTCCTCCTCCTCCTCCTCACTCCTCGCATCCCTGCTTCTGCCCTCTGCGCTCCGCGTGTCCTTATCGTCCAGCATCGCCGTCATCATCGCCATCATCGTCAAGTGGTTTCATGGGAAGCTCTACCGAAGGCCCCAATGCAAGAGTTCGCATGGCACCGCCCCCTCCATTTCGGCACACCCCTCACAATGTTCGTGGCCCCATAGGGAGCTCCACCAAAGACCCCAGTGGCAGGTTCTACATGCGTCCCCGCGACTCATGTCGGCACACCCCTCCCACCGTTCGTGGCACCATAGGGAGCTCCACCGAAGGCCCCAGTGGCATGTTTTACATGCGTCCCCACTCCATTTCGCCAAGCCCCTCGCACGGTTCGTGGCCCCATAGGGAGCTCCACCGAAGGCCCCAGTGGCACGGTCCACGTGCGTCCGCGCGACTCATTTCGGCACACCGCTCACACGGCTCGTGGCACCACAGGGAGCTCCACCGAAAGGTGGCAGGGTCCACATGCGTCCCCGCGACTCGTTTCGCCGCACCCCTCACAATGTTCGTGACCCAATAAAGAGGTCGCTCCACCGAAGGTCCCAATGGCAGATTTTACTCATTTCGGCACACCACTCACACGGTTCGTGGCACCATGAGGAGCTTCACCGAAGGCCCCAGTGACAGGGTTTACGTGCGTCCCCGCGACTCGTTTCGGCACATCACTCACACGGTTCGCGGCCCCATAGCGAGCTCCACCGAAGGGCCCAGCGGCAGGGTATACGTGCGTCCCCACGACTCATTTCGGCACACCATTCACACGGTTCGTGGCACCATCGGAAACTCCGCGCCAGGCCCCAATGGCATGGCTTACATGCGTCCCCGCGGTCCATTTCGGCGCACCCCTCACATGGTTCGTGGCCCAATAAACTGCTCCACCGAAGGCCCCAGTGGTAACGTTTACATGCGTCCCCGCGACTCATTCCGGCACACACCTCACGCGCTTGGTGGCCCCACAGGGAACTCCACCGAAAGCGGGGCTCACACCTCACGCGTTTGGTGGCCACTGTTGCGTATGGTTGGGTCCTTCGCCTGGATAATTGTTTTACCTCGCGGCGCGAGGATGTCTGCGATCCAGGCACGCCGCCCCGATATGCTTTGGAACCACCCGCGAGCACCACGCCGGCGCCCTCCACGATGAAGGGAACACGACAATTGGGGTCCGGTTCAGGGGAGATGGACAACGAGCTGGAATCGGCGATGCATCGCCGATGCAGTAGATACACACGGTGAGGGCATTGGATAAAGAATGTTTACATAAGGAATCCAAGGTCTGGAGGCCTGTGGGGAACCTGTTGGGGCATGGCACTGGCAATGGACTTACCGCCGCCCAAAGCAGATAAGCAATCCTCCATGGTCAGCAGCCTCCTCGGCACATTCCTTAACGTACGTCCCGGTTGTACAGAATCCACCCATAAGAAATCTCGGAGCACGTTTGTAGACGATCCCGGAGCTTCCTGACGCGCCTCGAGGTGTCTGCGGGTCCCCGCGGCCATCGGGGGATAAAAAGTTTCCTCGCTTCAGCTTCTGCACAAACTTTAGATCGGCAGTTGCACCCGATAGCGAAACTGGATGCTCCTGGGCGGGGGCGGCCGTCAATCCCCCAGTGGAGATGAGTGCGCGATCTTGGGTCGACGCGCGCGTTCTCCCCTGAGCCTGCTTCCCCCAATCGTTGCACCTGGCCTTTGGCCAAAACTTGCCTCTCGACCGTGCGGGACGATATGGGACGATACGGCTAGGCGCAACTGCAAGAAAGCATCCCGAATATGGAAAACCGTCGGGAACCCACGTGACGTCGGGAAGCAAAATTGCATCCCCCTGAGCCTACCCACACCTTTACGTTGCCCCTGAAGCTTTCCCCCCCCTCTATTTTGCGGCGCGCGCACGGGGCTAGGGGGGGAGGTCTCGTAGAAGTAAGCTGCGTCTTTTTTTGCCAAAAACATAATAAGAATATTAATAATAATAATAATAAAATGAAGCACCAAGAAAAACGCGCAGCGAACAGCCAAACAAATGCACGTCTGAAATGATCCACGCTCTGGCCGCCAAGAGAATCCTCCGCAACACTTGTTTCGGAGGTCTCTCCTTGGAGAACCTCTTGGGGCCTGATCTATCATCGGCTCCCCACTGTGGGACAGCTGCTGGCCGACCTGCATCTGGCGAGCCTGCCCGAGCAAGCAGTGCTTGACAGAACGCGCAGACGAGTGGATTTCTGCAACCCCTATGGCCCCGAGGGCGAAAAGCCATAAACCCACAATGGCAGACTGGGCAAACGCGCTGCGCGCGCAACCACGATGGCTGGACCGCCATTTATATGGCGCACAAAGCGCGAGCCGAGTGCAGCACCGAGCGATTAGAGAAAGAAACGATTGCTCCGGACTCGGGCCCAGAGCAGAAGAGGAGGAGGAGGGGAGAGGCGGATGAGTCGAACAAAAATGGGCATCGCACTGCCCCCATCGATGCGGCCAGCAAGACAGTATCAACTAGTCAGTGCTATACAGGACAAAAGATTGACCAAGGAGAGCCTCAGCGGTTGATGGACAAGCGGGTGACCCTGTGGCGGAAGTACACGTAGAGGTAGTCGCCCCCGAAGAGAATGTAGGCCGATGGGCGCTTGGAGACGGGTGCACATGCAACGGCACTGCCACTGGCCCGTCTGCACAACGGTCCGCTCCGGGGTGCGCACCTAACTCGGGAGCGGTAGTCGGAGGAGTCGATGGTGGGGCAGATGGAGGAGTAGATGGAGAAGGAAGCTGTGTCTTAGATGGCGCCGGCCCTACATCTACAGATACAGTCAACCCGCAAAATAAGGAATGAGCAACTATCCAAATTTACCCTTGCATCCTTCCCCTTCGGCCCATCCTTGGCCGCTTTCGCTGGCCGCGCCCCGCTCGCAAAGCGTCGATGTGGCCTTCCAGGGCCCTTGCGTCCTTACCGCACGCCCTTATCACACGGGTTGGCTGTAAGGCCCGCGCCTTCTAAGAAGCAGGGGTGCTTCTAAGAAGCTTTCGCCCCTCCCCTTCCTCCTCCTCCTCCTCCTCCTCCTCCTCCTCCTCCTCCTCCTCCCCCCCCTCCTCCTCCTCCTCCTCCTCCTCTTCCTCCTCCTCCTCCTCCTTACAACACAACACTCTGCGCGTGGCCGACCTGAACCTGGCCCTCCCTGCTCGCCATCGCTCGGACGTTCCCTGCGAGTGCTTCGATCTCGCGCGCGTGTTTTTTCTCGTCGCGGGGTGCTCCGAGATGCTCCTCGATGGCTCTCGCCGAGAATACTCCAGATTTCGTAATAAAGGGAGGGGGGTCTCATTTCGGGGGGGGGGTCTCTTCCAGGCTATCTTGGAGGGCCTGGGGGGTCTGGGGACGATGTTTTGGAGGGTTCGCCCACGGGGGAGGTCTGAAATGGCTTGTCTTGGAGGGTCCAGACCCCCTCCCCTTTATAACGAAATCTGGAGTAACTGCTCACGTCCGCGCGATGCCAAGCCTGTCGTTAAACCCCGGATCTGCCCCCACACACACACACACACACACACCCTTGGGATGGGTTGCAGTCCGCCCGGCCAGCCCGGCACTACTGCGCCGGTCCCGGTCGAAGTGGCACGCGTCGTGCGCGGCGGGCCGCCTGTCGATCACCTGCGCGGGTGCGGGGAGAGGAGAAGATAACCATTCCCCTTCTGCTCCCTCCTCCTCTTCCTCCTCCTCCTCCTCCTCCTCTTCCTCCTCCTCCTCCTCATCTCCATCTTGCTTCCTTCTCCTGCGCCCCACGTCGTCCCCCATCTCGATCCTCCCCATCTCCCATCCCTGCCTTCCACATCCTTCTCATTTCCATCCTCCATCCTCCTTCGTGCCACCTCCTGTTCCTCCTCTTCCTCTCCTTCCACATTCATTCGGCCTCCTTTCTGCTGCATCTCCACTTGTTCCCCGCCCCCTTCCGCCTCCCCCCCTTGCCCCCTCTCCTGCACCACTTCCTGGTCCTGCAATTACCGCCGGGAGGAAAGCCGTGCTGACATCTGCCATTGTGAGCAAGGCGAGCGTTGGCAACAGAAAGCTCCAAGAGCCTTCCAACGAGAGCCCCGGGAGGCCAAAAACATTGACCTTCAGTAGACTGTTAGGTCCAAAGGGCCCCCCCCTAGAGGCCCCCCAAGAGGCCCCCAAGACGCCCAAAGCGATCCCAAAACGGTTTCCGAGAGGCCGCAAACTGCCTCCACGAGGCCTCCGAGAAGCCTCTCGCGACGTCCCCACGAGCATCCTGAAGGCCTACGAGCCACAACCCAGGCATGGGGGCGGGATGGCCGAGGCTGAACTTGAAATCGAGGCTGAACACAACCCACTTCAACGAAAACTTGAAATCGAGGCTGCACTTGGTGGGCACCGCGACCAACTGAGCCGGACGCTTCGACGCTTCGTCCACACAGTGTATGCTCCGTGCACGGAGCGGAACCCAGCTTATTCTTCCGATCGTACCCAGTGCATGGACAGGTTCCGATCTACTTCGACGTGCGACAAGAAGCTGGAGGGCATGACCAAGAGGACCACCAATGTCCTCGTCGCCAAAATTGGCCCAGAGAGCACCTTCCGCAAGCCCTCCGAATATTCAAATTACTTGCGGCGGCCGCTGTTAAGCATGACGCGCTCGTGCGGGACAGGCGGAAGCTCAAGGGGATGTTTCTCAATGCGGAGACTGCTATCCAGTACGGGTATTTGCAGAGCAACGCCCGTTTCCTGAAGAAGACCCCGAACGTCGAGTTGGTGCACAACGGCACCACGGCCAACGAGCGCACGCACTTTCAGCTCTTGGCCCATTTCGTCAATGAGCGATATCAAAACCAGCGTCACGTGAGGACTGCCGTCCGCTCGTTCGTCATTCGGAAGATGCTGGCCTGGTATGTGTCAGCACACGTGATGCTTCCGCATTCTTCGGCATCACATCAGCGCAGTGGAACTGTTCTCAAGCGCTTTGTTTCCTCGGTGGGGCACCAACTCGATTTCAACGAGAGCCTAGGGGGAAAACAAACCTACCTCGCTCTTGACCACCCTCGCTTCCAAGAGATACCAAACGATGCCAAATTGCAGCCTGTACTGGTCAGGCCGCCTGACGAGGAGGCGCGTGGTATGGCTTGGTTTTGCCTGGAAGCGAAAGCGAGGTAGGTAATTCACGCTCCGAGAGCCAGAAGACAGCGGTGCGGAAAAAAGGCCCGCCGGCAGGTCGAGCGCAGCTCTATAGCGACATTGTGCCTCCAAGAAAGGGCGGGGTCGGAGCAGCTCTTGAATGCTGGCGGCCATAGCGACATGCGGGAAACAACAATCGGGCTGGGCGAAAAGGGGGGATTGGGAAAGGGGGGGTTACGAAATTTGCTGCATGCAGCTGGTTTCGACCTCACCGAGGGGCCCATTCCTCGATACATGGCCGCCTCCGGCGCCGGGAGGCGCCGGGAAAATCAGCTACGTGAGCTGATTCTCAAACCCCCCCTTTGCTATCCCCCCCTTTCGCCCGACCCGAAACAACAGTGTTCTTCTGCGACGCCTTGCGATTGCGTGGGTTCGTCCGCGAGTGGCTGCAGAGAAGCACAGAGGTCCATGTGACCACTGTCAGAGGTCCAATGGACATGTCTCGAACATAGAGCCCGCGTGTATGTAATCCCTTGCAGGCAAATGCCTTGCAGACACACCACTGCGGACTCCAATGCGTTCTAGTGGTGTTTGATGCTGGTGGAATGTATTCCGTGTGTGCGCACGTGCTTTGACATGGACATGCTCATATGCGTTGTAAGCTGTATGTGCACGTGTCTGTGTATGCACGCTTGTGTTCGATACATGCGCGTGCTCGCCTGAGCGGTGTCGCATGTGTGCACTCCTGTGGTGGAATATAGCTTGCTGCAGTCGCAGAACACCTCAGGCCAAACAGAATGAATGTACTCCAGATTTCGTAATAAAAGGGAGGGGGTCTGGACCCCCAAGACAAGCCATTTCAGACCCCCCCCCGTGGGAGAACCCTCCAGAACACCGTCCCCAGACCCCCCCAGGCCCTCCAAGATAGCCTGGAAGAGACCCCCCCCCCGAAATGAGACCCCCCTCCCTTTATTACGAAATCTGGAGTACTCCCCCTCCCGCCACCCCCCGCCCCACACCCCACGGGCCGGTTGGTTCTCCCCCCCTGGCGCTGCCCCCCTCCCTGGCGCTGCCCCCCCCCCCCCTTGGCGCTGCCCCCCTCCTTGGCGCTGCCCCCCTCCTTGGCGCTGCCCCCCTTGGCGCTGCCCCCCTCCTTGGCGCTGCTCCCCACGGGCCGTTTCTCCCCCCCCTCCTGGGCGCTGCCCCCCTCCTCGCCCACGGCTCCTCCCGGGGCTCCGCCCTCCCGCGCCCCTGGGCCTCGCCGCCAGAGATGATCGCCCCTCGCCCTCCCCGCCCCCCCGCTCCCAGGTCGGACCCCTGCCTGCTCCCCACCCCGTGCCGTCCGCTCCCTGCCTCCTCCGCTCCCCCTTCTAACCCCCCACCTCTCCCCCCCCGCCCCACCTTCGCGTTCCTCCCGGCCCCGGGGTGCCCTTCCTCCTGCTCCCTGTCCTCGCACCCTCCTCCTGGTCGTCTCCCTGCCGCTTCGTCGGAGGCCCCTCGCAACGCGCTCCTGCTCCCGATGCGGCTCCTGGCTCCTTCCCTTGCTCAGTATCGGCTTCCCCCTGCCTCCTCGCCCGAGCTCACCTCGACACAAATCAAAGTGCATAACTCTTGTTATGAATCGCCTCCACCCCTTTCTGATGTACGTGTCTGCATTCTTCTGCTAGCTCGCACTCTGGGCAGAAATGGTGCATCTTGGCCACTCTCTCGCCCATCACTGCCGCCCCCTCTTCCCCACCTCCTCGAAGACACATACCTCCTGCTTGCCAGCAACATGATTTCCGTTGCGTGCGATTCGAGTTTATATACTACTCCTCATCCGTTCCCCTGTTCCCACAATCGCAGTCACCTATGAGTACATCATGTTTGCGTGTCCACACATACTGACCCTTATACTTATATACGCAGATGCATGTATGTATACAACTGTACGTACATAGATGCATACATGCATGCATGCATACATGCATATATCACTACACACATACACACGTACATGCACCCATGCGTGCATACATACATATACAGTCGTACAGACATACACGCATACATACATGCATGTTACAGCTGTATGCGCCCCGTTCATACACACATGCATATCTACATGAATGCATGTACATATGCATACCTACATGCACATATGCATACATAAATGCAACCATACATACCTACACATACACGTACCTACGTACATACATACATACATACATACATACATACATACAAACATACATACATGCATGTATGTTTGCATGCATACATACAAATCTACAAGTATTCATACATGCGTACACACATGCATCCGTATCACCACACATAGATACATGCATGCATGCACGAATCCGTACATACAGACAGACACACAGTCATACATACCTACATACAGACATACACATTTATATATACATACATACATACATACATACATACATACATACATACATACATACATACATACACACACATACATACATACATACAAACATATATATTTATACACATACATACATAAGCACATACATATACATACGAACGTGCATGCATACATACATGCATACACATATGTAGACATGAAATAAATCAGAAAGAGAGATTGGGGCGGGTTGCGGAAACCCAGAATCCCCAAAACAAATCGTCTCGGGACGGGTCGCATCCGCCTGTTTCCGCTGGCCTTCCGTTGGCTTCCAGTGGCGGAGCCACCCTCGTTTTTGCCGCCGCCAGCCTTCCGCCGTTTTCTGCCGAGGAAGATCGGTCAGCTTCTCCGATCCCTCGAAAGCGAGTCCCGCTCTGGGACGCCCCACATGGATTTATATATATGTATATATATATACATATATAGATAGATAGAGAGAGAGAGAGAGAGAGAGAGAGAGACAAAAAAAGGGATAGAGCTTTTTGTTCGTCGGCGGCGAGGCGGCGAACTCCGCACCAGCGAGAAGCTAGAAGGGGGCACGAACTAGCGAATGAGCCGGCGAGCCAAAAGAAAATAGGAATAGAGCCAGGGAGAGCACAAAAGAGAGGGAGAGAGAGAGAGAGGGAGAGAGAGAGAGAGAGGGAGAGAGAGAGAGGGAGAGAGAAAAAAAAAACAGAGTGCGGCGACATCTGGCAAGAGTCGCCTGGATTCGTCTTCCGCTGACCGCCTCCACGGTGAACGCGGGGCCCTGCGAGGATGGGGTGGAAGCACCGACAGCACGCAACAAACCAGCAGCACCGCAGAACCTCCATCCTCCAGCCTCGTCGACGACGGCGCAAGTTGCACTACAGTCGGGGCGTTGACCTAAGGAACCCTAAATAAGGAATGAGGCCCCTTTTTTCCAGAAGTTGAACTTCGATTTCCCATCGGAAACATGGGGAAAGCCTGAGGCAAGCTGTGAAACACTTAAAGAACGCGGAGCCCCTCCCCAACGAAAAGGGTTCCTTCTTCAGGGCCCCGACTGTGCTTTGCAGCCCGTTGTAGGAACGATGCCCAAGATCGGAGGCTTGCGGTCGTCGCCCTCCGCCGCCTCGGCTCCACGCCTGGCGGCAACCTCGGCTGGCCGATCGCTGCTTGCGCGCGACGCGACACTGGCGGCTTTTGCGCGCTCGGGCCTGGCCCTCCCGCGCCACCTGGGAGCTGCGCACCAAAGTTGAAGGGAAACTGGAACACACAAATAAATTCACACAAATAAAAAGATTCCCCATATTTTCCCATATTTTCTGGGTTCCTGTCTTCCCCCCCGCTTCCCATATTTTCCCATATTTTCCTGGGAGTCGACGATTAATTGTGTCTGTGTTTTTTTTTTCCCTCCTGACGAAGTGGAGGGAACGAGACCAAGACTGAACGCGGAAACGTCGGCGTCTCGGGTCGGGCGAAAGGGGCGGATAGCAAAGGGGGGGGGTGAGAATCAGCTCAAGTAGCTGATTCTCCCGGCGCCTCCTGGCGCCGGAGGCGGCTATGTATCGAGGAATGGGCCCCTCGGTGGGGCCGAAACCAGCTGCATGCAGCAAATTTCGTAACCCCCCCTTTCCCAATCCCCCCCTTTCGTCCGACCCGAACCAAAGTGGAGGGAACGAGACCAAGACTGAACGAGGAAACGTCGGTGTCGACCTCGGTCGTCGCCAGCCTTGGTCATCGCCAACCTTGGTCATCGTCAAACTGTGGATGATCCCTCGCGGATCGGCGACGGCCGGCATGGAAGAGGACCAAGGTCGGCGTTGGCAAGAGCCCGCGACCCCTTGCTGGGCGTTGCCGGGGCTGGGCTTAGTGGGACCTGGCTCACTGATGTGTACCAAGTGGACGCCCTCCCCACCCCATTCCACTGACTGGAACTGTTACCCGACGGAACGCCAGCCACAGAAGACCTAGTTTAGCGATTCCGGCCTATTTTTGGGTTCGGGGTGGACCAATCATTAGCTGGCTCCCTTTACCGAGGGTCCTGGCTGTACGGCCGGACCTGAGCCAGAAAAGCATCCCGCAAGAACACGAGACCCTCCGTCGGCCAAACCACACAGAACATCCAAGGCTACTCTCTACACTCCGGCGCAAGCTGCCTTTCAAGTGGACCTCTGCTCCGACACCCCCTTGGCAGGCCTCGACCCTCTGCCGAGCCTGGGTGCCCCCCTTCCCCCCCCTTGGCCTTGGATGGAGGCGGCGAGCGAACGCGGGCGCTGCGTGTGCGCCGATGTGGAGCAACAAAACAAAACATCACACAAGCACGAAGAGCTCTGGGGTACCCTCCCCGAGCCGACCTCGATCTCATGTACCTCGGTCCGACTCTCTCCGACTCTCGGTCGCGGTCGCACCCTGCCCCGTCCCTCGGCCACGGGGGCACCCCTCCGCGAGCGGCCGCTCCAAAAGCACGGGCAGCCGAGCCGCGGCGCGGCGCGCACACCGGGGGCCCCCGAGCGGGAAGAATCCGGCCCCCGCCCCCCCAAACGAAAACAACGCCCGCGCGAACAAAAAGATGCCCTATTCTGAAGGGGCCCCAGGACACACAAATTAATACACAACAATAGAAAGATTCCCCATATTTTTTCATATTTTCTGGGTTTCTGTCTTCCCCCCCACTTCCCATATTTTCCCATATTTTCCGAGGACTCGAGGATTAACTGTGTCTGTGTGTGTTTTTCCTCTCCTGATATTCTATCCTCTGCTCGTCTGCGACCAGCACGCGGGCCGACAGCCAGACCCAGGACAGGAGAGCGTCCGTCAAGAACATGAGGCCCTTCGCCGGCCAAAACAAAGAGTGTTCAAGGGTACAGTCGGGGCGTTGACCTGAGGAACCCTAAATAAGGAACGAGGGCCCTTTTTTCCACAGGTTAAGCTTCGATTTCGTATCGAAAACCTAAGGGAAACCTGAGGCAAGCTGCGAAACATTCAAGGAACGCGGAGCCCCTCCCCAACGAAAAGGGTTCCTTCTTCAGGGCCCCGACTGTATTCTATCCTCTGCTCGTCTGTGACCAGCACGCGGGCCTGCAGTCGGACCCAGGACAGGAGAGCATCCGCCAGGAACGTTAGGCCCTCCGCCGGCCAAAACAGAGAGTGTTCAAGGGCACACTCCCCCAGAATGCACGAGAACATCCAACAGCCACGGAGAACACCAGAGCACCCTGCCCGAACCGACCTTGATCTCATACCTCCGTCCGACGGTACCGGGCCACGAGACGGGACAGGCCCGGGGGGACGACCCCGAGCGCAGCGCGGAGTGCTCCGCACAGGCGGACGACGGAGACCTCATCGCCATATGGCAACGGAGCCGCGGGGGGTTCTCGGGTCGGGCGAAAGGGGAGGACAGCAAAGGGGGGGGGTGAGAATCAGCTCACGCAGCTGATTTTCCCGGCGCCTCCCGGCGCCGGAGGCGGCTATGTATCGAGGAATGGGCTCCTCGGTGAGGCCGAAACCAGCTGCATGCAGCAGATTTCGTAACCCCCCCTTTCCCAAACCCCCCCTTTCGCCCGACCCGAGGTTCGCGGGAGGCTTGCGCGCGCGCACACCACGCCGAGCGGGGGGAGCGAACCCCCGCGTGCGGCAGCGGCAGCCGTGCAGGAAATGGGGGCCCGAGGGGCCCGCGGGGCCGCCGCCACAGCGGGCGGCCGCGCGGCCGCCGCCCCGGGGAGGCCGGAAGTGGCCAGGGCCGCCCCCCAGCACGGCCAGCTTCTCGCCTCCGATTCGGACGCCCGAAAGAATGAAGGGGGCCCCAGGACACACAAACAAATACACACATAAAGACAATCCCCATATTTTCCTATATTTTCTGGTTTTTTGTCTTCCCCCCCACTTCCAATATTTTCCCATATTTCTTTAAAATTCGACGATTAATCGTGTCTGTGTTTTTTCCCCTCCTGAGAACAGGGGCGCGGAAAGAGTAGGCACAGTGCCCAACAACAGGTGTTGTCCCGAACCAACAGCGGCCACTGTCGGGCGGGCGGCCTTCTCTCCCAAGTGGACACGGGCCGCGGCGACACCGACAGCGAGTCCTGCTCAAAATGAACAGGCACTGCTGTTGGGCATTGCGCCCAGTCTTTCCGTGCCCATGGAGGAGGGGGAGGAGGAGGAAGAGGAGGACGAGGAGGAGGAGGAGGGAGGAGGAGGAGGAGGAGGAGGAGGAGGAGGAGGAGGAGGAGGAGGAGGAGGAGTGTGGCCCACCCCAGGACCACTGCATCCAGAAAAGTAAGTTGATAGCTTCGAGGCCAGTTTTTTGACCTGCGCCACTTGCCACCGCGGGCTTTTCCGCCGGCGGACCCGCCGCCGCCACCCTGTCGTACCCATGTCGGCCGTGCCGACCCGAGGCGAGGCCGTGCGGGCCGCCACCAGGCCGGGCCCGGCGTGGCCTCCCGGAGGCCTGTGCCCTGACCTCCCGGGAGGGCGATCGAGAGCAGCACCAGGGCCTCGGCGTCTCAAAACGAGGACCCAACACCACAGGGTGGTTGGGAAAAAGGCACGCTTATTCTTGCGCCCTGGATCCACAAGGGCAACCTGGGAACCCAGACAGTGCCCCTTGAATGCCTGTCGAGGTTTAGACAGTCCAGATAGGTCTGTAGGCCTGGAGGGGCTCATTTCTATAGCACTCTGGAAGGTCAGGGTACCCAGGCCCCCCTCGAGCACCGACCAAAATCCCGGCGGGAAGTTCTTCGCTCTGTTCGGCCTCTGGGGGCCCTCACCGGGCCCCGCGGGACCATCCCAAAACGACTCAGGATGAAAAACGGGTCCCGGAGAATGGGTCCGGACCTCTGGGGGTCGCGTCATGACAGGATCATGACGTCAGGGGTCTGGGTAGACCCCTCTCTGGGACCGGCTGTTCATGCCGAGGCGTTGTTTGACGGTCCTGGGGCCCGGTGGGGACCCCGGGCAGCCGAAAAAAAACATAGTTTCAAGCTGCATCCGACGGCGCCTGACGACGCGCGCGCAGTGCGCTCGCTGTGTGCGCGGGTGAGTGAGGGCCAATGGAGCACGCGAGAAGATCATAACGCGCAGTAGTCACTTCACAGGGAATCGCTCTTCCACGCAGAAGAACTCATGGGAGCCTCCCATGCCATCTTGCTAGCTCTTGCAAATCGGCGCTAAACGACGCGAGCTGACGCTTATCGACGCGAATCGGTGCTGATCGGGACGGAATCTGCGCCTTTCCCATCGACTGCCAGACGCGAGCGCACGCGAATGCACTCTAAAACCGGAATTGCGAGTACATGCTAAGTCCCTAGGCTCTGCAACCGAAAGAATGAAGGAGCCCTAGGACACACAAATAAATACACATGAATAAAAGGATTCCCCCTATTCTCCAAGATGTTCTGGGATTCTGTCTTCCCTCCCATTCCCCGCATATTTTCCCATACTTTCTGGGAGATCGACGATTTCTTGTGTCTGTGTGTTTTTTTCTCCCTCCCGAAAGAAGAGGTGGGGAAACGAGGTCGCCGCCGCCGCAGCCCGCTCTCCTGCAGCCGCATGAGGGTCACCTCCACGGCTGCGCCTGGAGCGGGAGGCTCGACGCCGTCCGCCAGGCAGCCGTCCTTGGCGAGGACCCGCGCGCCCCTCAGCAGCTGGACGCAGTCCGCGTAGGTGCCTTCCAGCCCGATGCCGTCGTCATCCGTCATCGTCGTCGTCGTCGTCGTCGTCGTCGTCGTCGTCGTCGTCGTCGTCGTCGTCGTCGGTCGTCGTCCCTAGGGGAACGAAAAGTGACATCATAAACATAAAAACTCGGAGGTCCGTGCGGATTTCTCGGATCGGCGCTGGACCCTCGCCCTGGCGCGCGGAGCGCGCCAGGGGCGGCGCCGGAGGCGCCGCCAGGGGGGTCCAGCGCGGATCCGAGAAATCCGCGCGGACCTCCGAGTTTTTATGTTTATGTCATTCTTCGAACCCCTTAATCCCCCCGCCTCCTCTCATGGCGAACAAACCACGATGGACGGCTTTTGCCATGTCGGGCATCTGCCTCCGAGGGCCCTCGCACGGCCCGGGCACCGCCAAGAGACGACTCGGGATGGACAACCAATCCTGGGAAACGGGTCTAGACCTCGGAGTTCCACGTTGCAAAAGAACAGCGTGTCGGAGATTTGGGTCCGTCGTCGTCTGTCGCCGTGACCGTCGTCATTCGTCGTCTGTCGTCGTCTGTCCTCGTGTCGTTTTCTGTCGTCGTGTGTCATCGTCGTCGCCACCGTCTGTCGTCGTCTGTCCTCGTCCGTCGTCGCCGTTGTCCGCCTTTGCCGTCGCCGTCGTCCGTCGCCGTCGTCGACGTCCGTCGCCGTCGCCGTCGCCGTCGCCGTCGCCGTCGCCGTCGCCGTCGCCGTCGCCGTCGCCGTCGCCGCCGCCGTCGTCGTCGTCGTCGTCGTCGTCGTCGTCGTCGTCGTCGTCGTCCGCCGTTGTTCGTCGTCGTCGTTCGTCGTTCGTCGCTGTCCGTCGTCTTCGTCACGTCGCGGCACCGGCAGGGGGATTCTTTTGCTATCAGCGGCAGCATGCAGCCCACATACACCGCAAGCAGGTGGGCGAAACCCGCAAGGGGAGACAGAAAACAAACTTAGCGCGAAGAATCCTCATCCAAGGCATGCGCACGGACAAAGGGACCCTCGCCATCCTCGCGACGAATGGAAACAGCAACCCCTCTGGAAAGACGACGCATCCGTGCCCCGACGGACAGGGACCAAACTCTTCCCCTTCAACATCGGGACTGTGGAAACGCAGGGGCAGTTGGCCCCCAGGCCTCCAAGCATGCACGCCCTGAGGTCCTTCTCACTGGACCGACTCCGACCCGCCGCACACGCACCAACCCCAGGAGGACGAGAAGCAGAAGGCTGAGGGCAGGCCGCGCTGGCCTTGCTATACAAAGGACAGGCCGAGTCCAGCTCAACTGTGACCACCTTCTTAAACGAAGGATGGGGTCCACGTTGAAGACTGGACCACGGGCTCGAGTGCGCACTTTTACTTTGTCAGGTTCACACTTACTTGCCACGCTTGGGACGAGTACCAAGCATCATGTAACTGCACCGTTGGCACAAGTTCAAGAACGACCGCCAGAGCAGTCCACGACAATCAACGGTACCCCAAGGCCTTGAGAGCAGCAGGCTGAACTCGCAACGTCAGAGAGTACCGGCCACCAGCTGGCGCAACACAAGGAATGCCACGCCCACCTCGAGGGCAAGTACTGCGGTGCCAAAAACTCTCTACCCTGCCCCAGGCGTGGGACGCAAGCGAAGGAGGGGCGGCATGTGCCTTGGGCGGGTCGGGAACTCGCTCCACCCCAAGCCCCAGGTCGGGACGCGGCCAGGACGGGAGGAGCTTAGCCGCAAGTGTTCGTACCGCCCTGGCCACCGAAATATTCTGATCTATGAGCTACGCATCCTCTGGGCCAGGCTCAGGATCCAACGCCACAGCGATCTTGGCCGAGGCAACGGTAGCACTGCTATCTTCACATCAGTAATGCGCCCATTCATCTTATCAAGTAACCAGGTCATAATGCGCACGCACCTTGTGGACAGAAAGCTGGGCCACAACTACATACTTCCGGTTTGGTGGGAATTGGGCTTCAAAGGGCAGCCCATGAAAAACCAATGCAAGTTTGGCAATCCACAAGAAAATCTCAAGGCCCAGTGGACCACTGGCAGGCAACACTGTAGGCTTGAAGCTCGGCAGCCTGGAACGCCTGGGGGGATGGGGACCAGACGGGCCCGCGAACCCTGAATGTTTCAAAACCTGCAATCCTGCACAACGGCGCAATGAAGGCCCACCGAGCCCGATTGAGCTCTGGAAAGACACGCCACGTGCAAGACCCATCTCCAAGCGCGCCACCCAGAACGTCCGAGTTGATGTCGCCGTAGAAACCGGTAACCCACTCCACTTCGACACCTCCAGAAATGTCCGGCCTTAGAAGGATGAGGAAACACGCCGAAACAGGCCAGACAGTCGCCAGCGGCCTCGACAAGCCGAATAATTTGGGCTTGACAGAATGATCACGCCCATCTTCGACCACCTCGCACGTCCAGATCCGACGCCTGAAAATGTCCGCGGCAGCGAGACACAGTGTGCACAGGTCGTCGATTTGGTGACCTCGGCTGGCAGCCCGACAACGCGTGCAGATGACAACATCAAGCGAAACATAATGCAACCTATCGGAGAGGGCGTGAACCTCTCCGACTTCAAGAGGGTGAAGGACGCCGTCCACACACGCTCCCTCAGACAAATTAAACCGAGCACCGAGGTCCCACTCCAGACCCTGCACCGCAGCCTTCTCGAGCAGAGACTTGGCCAACAAAGGGGAAAAGGGACGCGAGCTGGACAGGGTGGCCTGGGCCCGCCACGAGGACCGAAAACGAAGGCATGGTCCACGACACCCTTTTCCGAAGACTTCCGCGGCGCCGAAATCGGTTCGGAAACACTCCGCCACGGGGGGCCCCCCTCGATGACCCACCCCCCACGCTCCGCGCAATGCCATGGGAATCATCGAACGGGGATGCGACCTCAAGTGCAAAGTCCGAACCTCCCTCGCCCATCTTGACAATGGGAGGGACCCTGGCCAGCCAAACGGGGTTCTGGTCAGCAGGCGGGGGACACATGAGGCCCCCACCCTTCGCCGAGGGCTGCAGCGCCAACCCCGCCCGTCGGCGGAACTTCAGACAGCTCCAGGCTTCGTTGCCCGGTGGATGTCGGCCCCAACAAGGTTGCCACCGTGGAGCACTGAGCCACGACCTTGTGCGTGACGCGGCCGCCGATGGCCTCGGCTCTACTCGATCTTTTTTTTTCCTGAGAGGGCGCCAAGGGTCACCCTAAAATGGGGCGGATTTTAGGGTGACCCTTCCCTTCCTCCACTCCCGGCAACGCCCACACGGAAGCCGGCCCAACTGCGCGAGCATGCGCCGGGGCGGAAGCTGTACTCTACTCGATCTGGCCTCCCCCCCCCCTCGAAAACGACCAGCGCAGAGATCGCCGCCGGAGTTGGCCGCGCTGCGCACCGTGGGCACCGCCGGCCCACCCGGCCGAGCACCGAGCAGCCTGCCCGGGTCCAGCGAGGAGCACGCCCGGGCCGTCGGAGGGGGATCGCGGAGGAGGAGGGGAAGGATCGAGGGGGAGGATCGAGGGGGAGGATCGAGGGGGAGGATCGAGGGGGAGGATCGAGGGGAAGGATCGAGGGGAAGGATCGAGAAGGAGGAGGGGAAGGATCGAGGGGGAGGATCGAGGAGAGGGAGGCGCAGGGAGGAAGATCGAGGATGGAAGAGGATCGAGGGTCGTCGGAAACCCTAATTAGATCCAACACCCTCTCCAAGGGCACGATGCAGCTCGCGGGCCGTGGGAGGAAGAAGATGAGCCAGCAGATGCCCCTTGGCACCCGTGGCAGCTCACCCAGAGTCGTCGATGTACAAGTCCAACACGCACGTGGGCGGGGAACCGCACCTTATCCAGAGCACAAGCAGCACGCACCCGGACCAAGGACGACGCGAGACCGCGCCCGGAAGGACCAACCCGGGCCCGGCTCAGTCAGGGCCGTCAACAAACCCCGCCAAACCAGACCACCTACACTGAAGATACACCCTGCGGAATGCTCAAGAAATCATGGATTAAGAAATTCACAGTCTGAGAATTTGAATAAAAGCCCAGAAGTTCTATGAACATCTTAGGACTTACATCAAAACATTAAGAATAATCGAGACTCTGGCCGAAAACGTAAGCTTTCTTAAGCATCGCCCAAGGTTGAGCGGCGACTCCGAGGGGGAACTCGACCTGCCTGCGCCCACAAACGAGCTCACGATCATCCGTGGCCTCTCGCAATGTGACGATCCGAGAGCACCGTCGCCGCCTCTCCCCTGGCCAAGGGTGCCGGACTCGGGCCGCAGGGCCAAGGCGCCGGGACGCCGCCCATGGGCCCCCTCGGGGGGCGCAGCCGCGAGGCAGGGGCGCGAGAGCATGGGTCTCCCAGCCCGGGGCCCAGGGGCGGCGGACACGGCCGCGGGGACGGTGCGCAGCACAGAATCTGCCACAAGTCTGCATCATATCAGAGCGACGCCGATGGAAGCCACCAGCGGCCACAGCAGCGTTCTCCAGAAAAAGTCTCTGGGACAGGCCCGCGCAGCTTTGATGGGAGCCAGCGGCAGCTCAGCCAAGGCCCCGTCGCGTTGAAGCCGGAGGTCAGCACCTCCATCGCCCCAGAGATCGGCATGCAAACCTTCGCTCAGCCTGAAGCACAGACAGAGGGCCGCACGCAACATCGCCGTAGAGAGGGATCTAATTGGTGGCTCCCGCGACCACCAGATGGGCCCTCCAAGCCCCGCGGTCAGCCTGGCACACATCTAATCCCCACATGCTATGGAGGCGAAGCGTCGGGCCTGACCCTCGCCAGCACCTGGGCCCCAAAGCCGAACGCACGCTGGCAAATCTTCAAGCCAAGCACCTGCTGGCCTGCCTCACAGTGGCCAAGAAGAACCGAACTGCCAGGTAGCTCGACCACTCCAGACACCGCGCGAGCACGCACCAGCTCGCGCCCCGGAAGGAGGCGCACGAAGGCCCAGGCTGCTGCGAACGAGGATTGCCACTCCTTCGAAAGCACCTCTCCCTTCAGTACGCACAGCCGCCGACCACAGGCTCTTCCTGAAGGGGAACTGGGACACACAAATGAATAAACACAAATAACCAGATTCCTCATATTTTCCCATATTTTCTGGGTTTTTGTCTTCCCCCCCACTTCCCATATTTCCCCATACTTTCTGGGCAATCGACGATCAATTGTGTCTGTGTGTTTCTTTCCCTCCTGATTTCCATCCGTCCCTGGTCGCCCAAGACGAGGCCAGGAGGATCTGATGCTCGAGCTGCTTGCGTTCCTGAGGCAGGATCACGCGCGCCCCAGCGCGCCCCCACCACGCTCGGCCAGGCCCCCAGCCAGACACGTACAGTCGGGGCGTTGACCTAAGGAACCCCAAATAAGGAACGAGGCCCCTATTTTCCATAAGTTGAACCTCGACTTCCCATGGAAAACCTCAGGAAAACCCAAGGCGAATTGCGACACAATTAAGGAACACGGAGCCCCTCCTCAACGAAAAGGGTTCCTTCTTCAGGGTCCCGACTGTACAGGACTCGATCGTCATGCAACAAATGGCCTAACGGCGCAACACGTGTCGGCGTGGCAGCGCGGCACTCGACCTAAGGCTCAATCGCGGCAGGCGAAGGCTCCTGAGCACCATCCGAAAAGGACTGGGAAGGTCGACCTTCCGCAAAGCCCCCGTGGCCGTCGCGGCGGTCCGCCTCTCAACGCCAGAGAAAAAACCTGCCCAGGACCCGGCAACCTCCCAATACAGGGGCCCCCGAGGTGCTCACTGGCGAAGCCGAGCGGTCGAAAAATAGCTGCGTCAGAACGGGGGCCCTGCCCAGGACGATGTCCCCCCGCTGGCGGCGGCGCCTCCATGCCACCTGCGCCCCGCTCGGGGTGGGCGGGCCACGCGGCTTCCGAAGATAAGCCACTGTTGGACAACATCGCCAAACCGACCTCAAGGAACAGGGCGGGGGGACTCACGCCACTATGGCAGCCAGTCTCACCAGGCCGAGAAGAGCTTCTGAGGGGCAGCGCTAGCTCTTTCCCCGCGGGAGGGACCGACGGGCAAAGGACTTAGGTTACGCCGGCAGACTCAGAAAACACACGTGGTAAAAACAAATCGTCGACCCCCCCCCCCAAGCGAGCCGGCTGGCCAACTTGGGGGGGAGGGAACCTGTGAACCTGTGGAGGCTGCTGCAACATCTGCTTTGCACGAGCACGCGCATCAGTATCAGAAGCCGATCCTGTCGACGGAGCCGGCGCGCACGACCCAACTCGCGAACCTGCTGCCGCCGAACCCGTTGCCGTAGCTGCTGGGACTGCCGCACTCGCTGCTCCTACCAGAAGGGTACCTGGGGCCGCCGATCCTGTCGGAGTAGCCGTGCCCGTGGCCTGGTGTCCACCGTGGGCCAGCACCTGCAACAACTTGGCTGCATCGGCTCGAGGACCTGCGGCAGCAACACTGCGTCTTTTGCCAGCCAGCTGGTCCAACTGGGCTTTGACATCAGCACGGAACTTGTCAGCGGCCGACGTCGCATCTGCGAGCTACGGCGTGACTGCACCTCTGAGGCCTTTCTGCAAAGGCACATGTCACTTGCTCGAAAGATGTCTACACCTCCGAGGATAACTCGTATTCATCTGCGTTGAACTGCAAATAGTAAAACACAATGGGCTCACCCTTGCCTTCCCACGTATCAGCGATTTGAAGCCTCGATGCACAAGCATGTGCTGATGGGGCAGCAAGCGATCCTTCCACATGTTGAAGTAGCTTCTGAACAAACGATGTGCGCAGAGCTTCGGCACTGTCCACTTATGCTGAGAAAGGGTCGAGCCCTCTCATGCGGCTCGAGGAGGTGCCTCTGAGCGGAATCGTGGACGGCGGCATCTTTGGCAACTGTAGTCTCCAATGCTCGCATGTCGTGGACTGGCCAGGGCCTCTTACCTGGATTCCAACTGGGAGTGGTATCTCTGAGCTCCTTCTTCATCACCCATGGACCGAAGAGGCCAGGTGATAGCTGACAGCGCCGTGACCTCATCCCGACCACCATATCCGACGAAGGCTGGCTGGCTCTCACCTTGACCTCCACCCCTTCCTCCCTTACCAACGGACTGGTGAAAGAAGTAGACCAAGGGACCCGGCCGAACAGGAGGAGCACCGCCTTGAGGGCCACAAACAGCAGGAACACGGGTTTGCCCGTCACACATCCACTGACCTAGGGGGGATGCGGTCCTTGTCTACAAGCACCACTCGGCAGAGGCGGCGATCCACATCGTGATCAGACCTCGGCTGCTGGCAACTCTTGCGCTGGAGCCAATCTGCCTCGTCTTTCCTGCAGCCAGGGTGTGAGCAACTCCATAGGCCCCCTCCACCACCACGTGAAAAGGAACCCCCTGGACCACTGCCCTGGTGCAACAGAGGCTCGCGTCGCCACTCCTTTTCTGAAGAACGCCCCTGACAACACTCGAAAAGCTCGAGCGCAGAAAGGCTGGCACCGCGTTGCGTTGGAGGAGGAGCAGGAGGAGGAGAAAGAGGAGGATCGGGAGGAGGAGGAGGAGGAGGAGGAGGAGGCAGGACGAAATGGGAAAAGGAGGAAAGATGAGAGGGAGACGGGGGGGAGGAGGAGGGAAAGGGGGAAGCAGGACGAGGAGGGAGGAGGGGGGGAGGAGGGAGGGAGGAAGAAGGGACGGGGCGCAACGCGTCCCCCACTGGGCCCCGCCCAAAGGGGGGGGGCCCTCGTCATCGCGGCCGCGTCAGCCTCGGGACCCCTGCCCAAGGGCGCCCGCCCGAGACTTGTCCGAGGAGGCGGGAGAGGGGGGGGGCGTGGGGAGGGCGGGCCTGGGACATGCGACTCACGTTCGCGCTCGCTCGGAGAGGCTCGAAGTGCACAGCAGGCGCGTACGATCCGAAGCTTGGTATCAGAAATCTGGCGGTACATCCCTGGTCGACTCTGAGCTTCGCAGGGTGCCCCAAAGTTCTGCGGGCCCATCATGCATAGGAAATCATCGTGTGACACGGGTTGGGAAGCCAGTTGCTTATTCCGTGTGCGCATTTTACAGCACGCCGTCTCATTGGCCGAGGAGCAGCTTATGGACGCCTCAGCTCCCCAAACTGCGGGAGGATGAAACGCCATTGCGCCAAACGGTTTCGCCGAATGTCTTGGCCCCCGGCCCAGAGCCGTCCTGTCTTGGCGCTCAGCTCCTCTACCAGGTCCGCCACCGGGGTGTCCATCCTCACGTCCTCCTGCCATGGCGGGGGGGGCCGCAGCAGCACCGGGAGCCGCGGGCAGGGGCAACGACGAGGTTCCGGCAGGACACCCCGGCCTCCTCGGGGCCAGAGGCAGCTCGCGGCACCTGCTCACGCCGCCCAGCTGCTCTCTTGCTGGCAAGCAGCAGACGCGGGCTCTGGGAGACGAGGGCCGCGCTCCGCCGACACGATTAGACAAGCACACGTCGAGGCACGGGCATGGGCACACTGTGGTGAGGGGCTCTGGATAAGGAATCCTTAGATAAGGAATCCAGGGTCTGGACGCTGCTCTCATCAGATGAGGGAGTCTCCAGGGTCTGAAGCCTCTTGGGTTACGGCTGCGGCTGCGACTCCGCGCGCGTGGCGCCAAGAAAGCGCGGCGGGGGTGACGCCGAGGCGCCTGTGAAAGCGTGCGCGAGTGAAACATTGCAGAGAAGGAGGAGGAGGAGGAGGAGGAGGAGGAGGAGGAATGACGTTACCCTGGGGGCGGCGAGTGTATCCGAAACGCACAACTCAGCCGAGAAGATTTTGCGGCTGGCGGCACAGGAGACAATTAGCGAAGTAGGGCACGGGCTGCACTGGAGGCGGACGCTAACCTGTCGACCGTCGATGAGGCAGCAGACTTCATTGATCTGGAACGCGAGCGTTACGCGTTGGACCGTCCGCCGCAACGAGAGGTCGCTGGCGGGGTCAGGCGGATACGCTACAGCTGAGCCGAGGGCCCAAGTCGTGAGAGTGGATTGGAAGTGGGGCGAAGCTGGAGACCAGAGGAGGCAGGAGCAGGAAGAGGGACACACTGGGCACATTCCTTCATCAACACCCGCCCCCCCGGTTGTTCAGGCTCGGCAGCACTAAGCGGAGCGACCCGGGCGGTTAGTCGCCCGCACACGTTTCGACGGCCCATGCAGCATTGGGGTGCAATCGGAGGCCAAGTAACCTGCAAGACGGGACCCGCTCAAAGTAACACACACACACACACACACTCACGCACGCACGCACGCCACACAAACACACCCACCCCCCCCCCCCCCCCCCCCCCCCCCCCCCCCCCCCCCCACACACACACACACACACACACACAACACACACACACACACACACACACACACACACACACACACACACACACACACACACACACACACACACACAGACAGACAGACAGACAGACAGACAGACAGGACAGCAGCAGACAGACAGACAGACAGACAGACAGACACACACACACACACACACACACACTTGCGTGCTATCTTCCAGCGCGGAGGCGAAGCGCAAAAGCTTAAGATGGGCTTCGTTCTGAGATGACTGGCGACCTTGCGCGGCAACGTGTGCGCAGCTGGGAACCCCTGACAGTTCCGCGCGAGCCGAACCCACGAGGGATCATGAAGGTGGAGCAACAACTCCAAGGAGGGACAACCAAGCGGGCCAGAGGGTTCCAGGACAGGCAGACATGCAGAGGACCGCCGACGACGATGGAAACACGGCACGACGACGAACGAACGACCGCAGCGACGCGAACAAGAACGAAAACGGCGAAACGGCGACGACGACGGTCGCAGCCCGCACTGCTCCGCCTCGCGTCGCTCGCAGCGGGCCGCGGTGCCCCCGCCCGCGGGCCGGGGCGAAGGAGAGGGGCGGAGGACGGAGAGGGCACGCGCCGGACGGCAGCCGCGAAGGGCGCCGCGACCAGCGAGGTTGGCTCGGCGGGCGAGCGGTCAAGGAATGAGGTGGCAAGGAGCAGGACCGAGGAGCGCACCAGAAAGAGGGGGCGCTGCTGGGACGGCACAAGAGGCCGGCGGGGCTTTGCAAAAAAACACAGCTCGAGGAGCAGAAGCGGTCGAGGAGGGGGCGGAGGAGGTCGGAGGGGCCAGGGGCCAGACGGGTGCCGCACGCGCTTTTGGCCAGGCAGCGAGATGCGCAACCTCCTCGCGGTCTCCACCCTGCGGTGGCAGTCAGAAGGAAAGGAGGAGGAGGAGGAGGAGGAGGAGGAGGAAAGGAGGAAGAAGAAGAAGAAGTCTAGTCTGGATCCGTTTAGCTCTGCGCTCCGCTGGACCTCCAAGGAGCTCTCGAAAGGGCCCGCAGTTGCCCAGCTGGCTTCTCCCAGGGAGGGGAGTAGCAAGTTGGGCCGTCGTAGGACCGCACTCCGCGGAGCTACCATGCTGTGCCGAAGGTGCCGGCTGCTGCGCGGTGGGCCGCACCCAGGGCGGGGACCACTGGTGGAGTCCACGCAGGAAGGCAGAAGCACCCCGCTGGACCTCTCGTGAGCCCCCGGAAGCAACAGCAATTGCGAAGCTGGCAGCGTCCGGGGAGGGGGGGTGATGGTTTGGGCCCACACATCAATACTGCACTCTGCTGGACTTGTTTTGACAACTTCCCTGAGCTGTGCAATTGGCCCCGAAAACGACCAGCGTTGACAACTTCCCACGAGCTGACCTGTTTTGGCAACTTCCAACGGCCTGCTGCGCAACTTCCCTGACCTGCTTTGACAACTTCCCACGAGCTCCCGAAAACGCCGACAGCTGCGCAGCTGGCGGCGCCCGGGCAGGGGAGCGGGAGCCCGGCTCCGCGCCAGACCGCACCCCACTGGACCTCTGAGGAATTCCCGAGCTGCGATGCTGGCAGAGCCCAGGGCGGGGACATCGAAGACCCAGAGCATGCTGCGCTGCTGGCAAGGAAGCATCGAAGAGGGCACGAACAGGAGGCGATGCGGCGGCGAGGCAGAGGGGAGGCGGGAGACGGCAGGGAGGAGAGAATAGGATGCGGAAGGAAGAGGCGAGCAGAAGCAGCACTCTCTACTCAAAAAGAGATCCCAGCCAGGGGAGGGCTGGGAAGAGAAGCCAGACACAACTGCCCTCGTCCCCCTCCTCCGTCTGTCCGCTTCCGCATTCTTCACGCAGTCTGCGCACACTTGGACTGGAAGCCTCGCGCTGCGCTCCGCGCCGCGACAGCGAATCGTCCCCAGAGAGGGAGCCAGCTTCCCAGCAGAGACCTGGAATCGCGCCATCGGCGAATCAACGAGCGAACCAGCCAGCCAACCAGACAGTCAGCCATGCAGCCTCTGCCTCTCCTTCCTCTCCCCCCTCCCCTTCCTCTCCTCTCTCTCCCCCCTCCTCCTCCACATCCCGCCTCTCCTTCCTCGCACCCCATCCCCTTCCTCTTCTTCCTCTCCCTTACTCTCCTGCCTCTCCCCTCCTCCTCCTCCCCCCCGATCTCCGTGCCTCCCCTCCCCCCCCCATTCCTCTCCGCCCCGCTCCCGCGGCGCCTTGGCGAAGACCACATTGCCGCTGACCGCCCGCACGATGACGTGCACGCACACGTCGTCCCCCTGCACCACCCCCCCTTCTGAGGGAGAAGGATACAGCAACCGTGCTAAAACAATGTTTGAAGAATGTGGGGGAATTATCAACAAGATAGTTTCCGACTCTTCGGCTTCCGCTTCGCTTCGGCTCCGTCTGGCCCGTCGACCGTCCAGGCGCGCGCCCGATGGGGGCGGGGGGAACGACTCAACACATAGCTTCCTGGCCCCGGGCCAGTTTTTCGCATCGTCACCCTGGGCGCCGCCGCGTGAACACGACCCCCAGAAATTTCTGAATCGTCACCCTGCAGTAAAATAAGGCACGCTGAAGAAGGAAGGGGGGGGGGGCTCTCTGGGCGAGCCCCGGCCACTGAGGAACGGCCCGAAAAAAAGAGAGCTTCTTCTGAGCCGAAGGCGGTCCCTATTGCAACGTACTGGCTGTAGGCGGGGACCGACTCTGGGGAGGAAACATCGAGCACATCTAGCTGGGAGCGGCGAAGCATCGCCGACAGATCGGCAGCAGGCCCTCAACAGCAACTCCGAACGCTCCTGGGCAGGGTGGGCTGCCGGGCCTCTTGTCGGCGAGGAACGGGCGATTGGGGGGGTCTCGACGCGGTCCACTCCTGAACCTACAGTCGGGGCGTTGACCCAAGGAACCCTAAATAAGGAACGAGGCCCCTTCTATCCACAAGTTGAACTTCGATCTCCCATCGACTACCAGAGGAAAACCCAAGGCAAACTGTGGAGAAATCAAGGAACACCGAGCCCCTCCCCAACGAGAAGGGTTCCTTTTTCAGCGCCCTGACTGTATCCCCCCGCTGGCGTGGCCCCGTGGCTTCGGGGCCATGGCTCGGCGTTATCCGACGGCCATCCGTGTGACGACCCAGGCACCCCTGGAAAATCCAGGAGCGCTTTTTTGGCGCGGCGCCGCTGCCGGCACGCACCCCGAGGCTGGAGACCACCGCTATAGTGGGCCCTGGAAACGACAGGGCCGTTTTTGTTACCGGTTAACCCCGTTCTGCCGTTTTTTTACCGGTTCCGACGCCGTTGTTTGACCGGTTCCGTCGCCGTTATTTGACCGGTTCCGGCTCCGGCTCCAATCCTGGAGCCGCTTTGAATGCCGTTTCCAGTCGCCGTTTTTTTGGCCGTGTCCATTTTCCAGGGGCACTCTTTCGGAAACGGTGAAAGAACGGCCCTGCCGTTTCCGGGGCCCACAAAGCTGGAGACCACCCGAGAGCCGACGAAAGCGCGCGAACACCTCGAGCATCAAACCCCGAACCAATGGCTTCCCACCTGAGACTGCCCCCCCCCCGAATCGGGGGCGATGATGGGGGCGAAGAGCCCAGAGGAAAGCAACACACGAATCCCAAGGGCGCCGATGACCCATGCCTTCGGCGAGCCTCGTGCACGGCCGAAAACAAAGATGATCAAGAGAACTATCAGTGAAGAAACGTGGGCCAACGTTCCCAAAAGCTTCTGAAAACAGGCCTGGGCCGATTCCTGCCGCTGACGCACGTTGGAGGGTCGAAGGTCCTCAATGGAGGAGGGTACAAGGCGTAAAAATCAACTTTTGGAGGTCCGCGCAGATTTGTCGGATCGACGCTGGGCCCCCTCCCTGGCGCAAGAGGCGCGCCGGGGGCGGCGCCGGAGGCGCCGCCAGGGGGCCCCAGCGCAGATCCAAGAAATCCGCGCGGACCGCCACAAGTTTTTGCTTACGGCGCTCGCTCTTCTTCTGCTCAGGACAGAACCGCAGGGAACTTCATAAGTCCGTAGCTCCGCGCGCCTGGACGGCCAGTTCTTCTGCTCAAGACAGAACCGCGCGCCTGGACGGCCAGTGCTCCAGCGACTTGGCTCCGGAGCGCGCGCCCCGCTTTCCGGGAGAGGAGGCTCCTCGCCACCGCCTCGCCGGCGCCGTCGCCCGCCCCGGGGCTGCTCTCGCCCCCGCCGCCGCCGCCGAGGCCGGCCGGCGGCCCCCCCACGTCGACGGGCCCCGTGGCCGGCGAGCCCCGCCGGGCCCGCCCCCCCCCCTCCCCGACGTTGGGCGCCCGAGTTATCCGGGGTAACTCGGGCCCGGGGCAACTCGGGTTCGGATTCCCGAAGAACGAACCCGAGTTAGCCCTGACACGAGTTACCCCGGATGATTCGGGGCTCTGACGACGGGCCTGCCGCGGCCCGCAAAAGCCCCGCGGCCCACGGCCCGACGGGGGCCGACCCCACGCGAGAGGCCCCGCCGGCGCCCGCCCGCCCGGGGCCCCACGACGGGCCCCGCGCGGCCGGCGGCGGGCCGCGCGCCGCCCAGAAGCGAGGCACCTCCTCCGGGAGCCCTGCAGGGCGGGAGGCGCGGCGCCGGGCGAGGCGGGCCTCCAGCAGGCGGCAGGCGGCAGGCTGTCGTCGTCGTCGTCGCCGCCGCCGTCGTCGTCATCGTCGGAGTAGGAGCCGGACCCTGACCTTCCAGGAGGGCTAGAAAATAGCACCAGGACCTCGATAGCTGAATTCTCGTCGAGGTTTTAGGCAGCCCAGATAGGTCTATAGGTCTGGAGGGCTATTTTCTAGCACTCTGGAAGGTCAGGGGAGTAGGGGTAGGCGCAGAAGTCAAGTTTTATGGCCACGCCGAGCGAGTCCGAAGGCCCCGCCTGCTCCCGACCCGCCCTCCCACGGCACACACAGAGGATCAGGTGGGGCACAGCTTGGCATCGGGACCGGAGCGCGCTCCCGCCTCGCGAGCGGAAGGCGCTCGCGCGCGGCCCCCCGCGTCCGATCCGAGGACGTGGCGGGGAGAGAAAGCTGCGCGGGCACAGTCGGGGCCTTGACCTAAGGAACCCAAAATAAGGGACGAGGCCCCTTTGTTCCATAAGTTAAACTTCGATTTCCGATCGAAAACCTAAGGAAAACCTGAGGCAAGCTGCGAAACACTTGAGGAACGCGGAGCCCCTCCCCAACGAAAAGGGTTCCTTCTTCAAGGCCCCGACTGTAGCGCAGGGGCGGGGGCAGCAGAACTGCCGATGGGCGCGGCGAAGGCGAAGCATGCGCGAACCAGTGGCGATGCCAGTGCCGATCGACTCCACTTACTCGCGGCCTTTCTGGGCCTTCCCAGCTCTACGGACTACCTCGGAGACAAGGCACGGACGAACTCGATCGAGAAAAACCCTTCCAATGGGGCTTCAAACGTGGGAACCCGGTTTGCCCAAGGCGCGCAATTGCTTGCCCGCCATAGCTCCACACCTCCCACAAAACCAAATGTCTAAACGAGCGTGCACGTGAATGAGATGAGAAGAAGGATGGAGCCAGCCCTCCCCGCGAGTGAGGTTCGAGGGAGGAGAGGGACGAGGTGGCGAGGAAGAGGATGACTGCGACGACGACGCCAGCGGGCAAGAGGAGGAAAAAGACGAGCCCCCAACAACGTTGCTGAAAGTTCCGAGGCCCACGTCGTGAAAACATCACGACGGCGGCATCCGTTTCATCGTCGCGCTCAGCTCCCGAAAAACTCACTCCGCAGGGCCCCGAGCTGGAGAGATGAGTGGTCCCCTGGCTCTGGTGGCCTGCTGAGGCTGCCGGGTGCGCTTGCTGCGCTTGGGGTTGTTGCCACCTGTGCGCGCGAAAGTTCGCGGGGGCGAAGATTTGAAGATGGGGGGCCACAAGACGAGACGAGAATGGAAAGCCGAAGGACGCATCGATGGGGCCAGACTGATGCGTGCTGCAAGAAAGATAATGCTAACGACGAGGACGTTAACAAGCAAGCGTTTGCTCGCGTGTCCGTTTTTTGACGGCGCAACGCATGCACTCTGCAAGCTGCACTGCGCAGTGCGTGTAGCATGGCGCAAACAGCCCTCGAACTGCATGCCTGATGATCGACAAGTAGCTCTCACATGCCACATGCCAAACTATCACCAACTGTATTTACGAAAGTGTGCTTGAAGGGCGAGCGGCACCAATAGCAGCCTAGAGAGAGTGGCTGTTATAGGCCCTGTTCCACAGGCCCATCGACAGACAAATCGTCTCCTGCCCAGGCGACCTGCCCGAAAAAAGGACCCCGCAAGGACGCCGAGATAACAAGTTTCTTGAACTTGCACACGCAAGGGGACGGTCTTTCGCAGAAGGTCTACGAGGTGCCAGCTAACAGGGTCACCACTTGAAGATCCTTGAACAACTCCCTTACATCGATGAGTTTTCAAGGGATGTCTTCCCCATCCTCCACCTCCACATCCTCTCCTCCACCGCTGCCACTCCTTCTTCCGGGTTCCTTGTCCAATCTCCCGCCCTCCACCTCCACCTCTCTCCCGTCGTCCCGTCGTTATCTTCCTCCATCGTCCTCCCTATACTCCTTGAGCTCTTTGTTCATATCTCCTCCCCCCTCCACCTCAACCTCCTCCTCCTCCTCCTCCTCCTCCTCCGCCACCGCGCCAAACAATCAACACGATCCCGCCCCTCCCTCTGCTCGTGTGCGCGGAGAAGCATATGGGGCAGCATCAGCAGCAGAGCAGCCGATGAGACGCTCGGCGCCACGGCGGCGGGAGCGGCCTGCGCCGGCATCGTCTGCTGGTCCCACCTGGACTGGACGCACTTGGTCCGGGCGCCCACAGTCGGTTCCAACTCTGCCCGCCCCGCACACCCTGCCCCGCCCCCTCCTCCGCCCACCACCGTGTGTTCAGCCCGCCCGCGTGATTATGACGCACTCTCACTGTCATCCGACTCGCTAGTGAGGTCCAACTGGCGGTCAAAGTTTCGGCACTGTCGCTTCCTCCGCCAACGATGTGACAAGAACAGTCGCGATGGAACACGCACGGGCATCAAACATGGCCGCGCCCTTGTTGTAGCGTTGCAAACTTGCGGCAGTCACACACCCGTGTTGGCGGGCATGTTGTGAGACCCCTCTCGGGAGCCCTCGGGGGGAGCCCTCGGGAACCCAACGGGGCTGGTGTGACCCCGTGTTGGCCCCGTGCCCCCACGGGGATCTGTGATCCCGTGTGGGCCATGGTCGCCGCTCCAATGCAGAGCCCTTGTGACGCGAACAAAATTCAAGGGGCCCAAGGACACACAAATAAATACACACAAATAGAATGATTCTCCACATTTTTCCATATTTTCTGGGTTTTTGTCCTCCCGCCCAAGTCCCATATTTTCCTATATCTTCCTGGGAGTCGACGATTACTTGTGTCTGTGTGTTTTTTCCGCCCTGAAAAACGAACGGCGCCGCACACTGAGTGCACCCGGCCGTGAGGATGGCACGCCGCGCTGCGCTGAGAACGGCGTGCTGGCAGGGGGCAGACCCCGGCAGAGCGGGGCGCATCCAAGGCAGCGAACGCGTGACCCACCGATGGAGGCGCGCGATTATGCCGAGCACACACACACACACACGCACACACACACACACACGCACACACACACACACACACACACGCACACACGCACACACGCACACACACACACACACGCACACGCACACACACACACACGCACACACACACACACACACGCACACGCACACGCACACGCACACGCACACGCACACGCACATACACACACGTACACACACACGCGCGCACACACACACGCACACGCACGCACGCACGCGCACGCGCACGCGCACGCGCACGCGCACGCGCACGCGCACGCGCACGCGCACACGCACGCAACGCACACACACACACACACACACACACACACACACACACACACACACACACACACACACACACACACACACACACACACACACACACTAAGCTTTCGCGGGCCAGGCCGAGCTCCAGGCCGTGTAGCAGGTCTGCGGGCACGCGCGCGCCAGCTAGGCGAGAAAGAGTGGCCGGACCCTCATTGGCCAATGGCAGAACTCGCACGATGGAACAATGGCCAAAGCAGGCATACGCACACACATACACACAGACACACACTTTTTGTTTGGCGTCGCGGCCACGCGGGCAACGTAGCGGCGTAAAAAGGTCTGGAGATAAGCGCGCGGCAGCCCAACTCAGCAGTGGGAAGACGCTGGATCCACCACGCGCAAACACACACACACACGCACACACACACACACACACTCTTCGCTTGGAGCTTGCTGCCCAGGATGGGAATCAGCGCGCCCGGGAAGCCAAGGCCACCCCATTCCCCCCCAACCCCCCTCCACTGCAGTGGCTCCCGCTTGGTCTGCAACGAAACGTTCATGGGTGTTGGGAGCTTTCTGGGCTGCCTGCTTCATCGGCGCACCTCGTCGCTGCACCTAAGTGTTCGGGGTTTTCGTGGCCGCGTTGTTGCCCGTTTGGCCGCCCCGCCCCTTGCGCATCGCACGCTGGCTCGGTTGTCAAAACCGCTCTGTGCCGCGAAGCACTGATTGGAGATTCCTCAGGGTCGCTCGACATCTATTCATTGGCTATTGCCTGAAATGCTCTTTTGAGCGGCCCAGACCTCGGAGTCCCAGAACTCTTGGACGACTCTTGGCGCTCCCCGGGATCGCCGCGCGACTTCTCCGAGGCCTCCGGAACGGACCGTGGGAGTCGGCACTCCCAACGTGCCTGAAGGTGGTCCCATAGGGGCCGTCCGACGCTGCCTTGGGGGTCCTCTCGGGCCGTCTCGGAGGCCGTGGGGAGCCGGCCGCCACAAGAGGCCCCAACGAAGGCCACCAAATGTTCCACGCCACTTCCGCAAGCGGGGGCTTTCGGCCTGCACGGCCCTCAGCACGGCCTAAGAAGCCTCCAAGACCCGCCCAAAGAAAGCAGCCAAGAGCAGCCCAGGGGGCGCCCAAGAGGAGCCCACGGGGGGGGCCTCGGGCTGCAATTTCGACCCATCCACCCCAAGATGGCCGCAGACAACATTTCCCGCAACCCTGTACTGTCAAACGTTCTGCTCGAGGCCCGGAGAGGCTGTGTCCACGACCCAGGTACGGTGGCAGAGTGGGCCGAAGGCCACTAGATCTTCACTTGGCGTTCTTGTTGCAACCGCGTGTGCTCCACGTGTGGGCCTCGCTGCATTGAATCCTGACAGGAGTTACAGTTTTCTGCTGCATGCGCCAAGGAGCAACACGCCAAGAAGCCTACGTAATTAGAAGAGGGTATGGGGACCCCAACCCCCGACCTGGTGGAGTTCTCGACTGGGCAACAAACTGGGGCCCAAATTCGGGGATATGCGAAGGGTAGCGTGCCATCTTCGATGGGGGTGCGTCCGAACAGCCCCCAATGGGGTGTATCCCCGAGTGCCCCCTATTTCCTGAGAGGCCTGTTCTTGTGTTTTCGGGGGGGGAGACACCGCCTGCGACAGCTGATTCCCTACCCCCCCCCGTTGCTTCCCCCTCCCTTCGACATCCCGAGTGCACGGTGGACAGGAGCGCGCGCGACTGCCGAGCTGTTGCAGAAACCCGCCGTGCCCCGACAACAGAAAACGACTTCGTGGAGGGTTGGAGCTGTCTTTTTCAGCAAAGCCGTTACTGCGGAGTGAATGATCAAGAGGTGGATGCCAGGTTCGAGTGCTGATGCGAACCATGGCGAGGAACGCTCTGAGGACGGCTGGGAAAGCGAGTGCGAAAGGCGGGTCGAAACGACAACACATTGCAAAAGGCTCATCAAGCCTGGGGGGTGCTTCGTCCGACGAGGCTGCTGATGGACCCTCGAAACGTGCCACACACCGACGCGCGATGCCTGCCACGGTCTCACATTGAGTCGTGTCGGAGCGCCGGCTGGAAACTTCCACTGGACGGACGGGAGCGGCGACTTCTCGGAGCATGCGTCTGGCTGTGCGGGACGGGAAGATGACCACAGCCACTGCTCCTTGTTTGCGCCGCCTTCCAGACGGCCGAAAAAGAAGCAGTGGTTGTGGTCATTTCCCGGGTGCCAAGCTTAACGGAAATGACCACAACCACTGCTTCGTTTCTGCTGGCTGGAAGGCGGCAACACAAGAAAAGCAGTGGCTGTGGTCGTTCTCACGTCCCGTAAGCTGGCTGAGCCGGCGCCTCTTGGCGCCAGGAGCGAGCGCGCATCGAGGAAGTTGACCGGCGGCGAGGCCGGCACCGTGGAGGGGGCTGTCCCGTTTGACTCGTCTTCGTCGACGTCGTCGTCGTCGTCGTCGTCGCCGCTGCCTCTCTTTCGATGGGCCCGTCGCCGTCCTCCCCTTTTCCTGGGCCCTCTTCCTGGGGCGCGCCAGCCAGAGCGAACTTCGGCAACGTCGCAATTGAGTCGAAGGGAAGCCCCTTCCCTTTGATCCCTTCCCCTCAAGGGGGGGGGGGGTCCCGGGGGTGGTCCCGGGGGGGGGGGGCCCAGGGGGTTCCCAGGGGGTCGCGGGAGGGTGCCAGGTCAGAATACCACCCCCCCTGTGGCGGGGGGCCGGGCCCAAAAAAGTCCCAAGACAAGCCAAGAGTGCCCTAAGAGGCCCCCAAGACGGTCCACGAGAACCCCGAGTCGCCGAACGATCGGTCCAAGACGTTTTTACGGCCTCCAGACGGCCCAAGAGGGCTGGAAAGACCCCCCAAGAGGCCTCGAAGGGCACTCCCAAGAGAGCCCCAGGAGGCACAGCTCCTGGATTTCCCTGCATTTTGTTAAAGGATTTGGGCGTTCTCGCCTTTTCAGCTTCCCGACGCTCCAAAACGGCCCAGGAGACTCCAACGATCGCCCCAAGTCGTCGTCGTCGTCGTCGTCGTCGTCGTCGTCGTCGTCGTCGTCGTCGTCGTCGTCGTCGTCGTCGTCGTCGTCGTCGTCCCCCTTCAGGGTCGGCGGCACCGGCCGTAAGGCCTTCGCAATTTGGAATATGGGAAGTTGGGGGGCAGACAGGATTCCAGAAAATCTGAAAAAGTATTGGGAATTCTATGATTTTTGTCTATTTATTTTTGCCCCTGGGCCCCCTTCACCCCGGGCCCTCGCCCATTTGGAATGCAGAAGCAGCCAGCATCGAATGACGCAACGTCGGACAGGACCCAAGCGTACACAACGCCGAGCGGAGCCGAAATCCGCGGTGAGTGGCAAAGCTGGTCCGATCCTGAAACAGGTCAAGGGCAGGAAGCCTCGCAGCGTCCCCCCTCCTCCTCCTTCCTGTTCCTTCTCCCCCTCCTCCTCCTCCTCCTCCTCCTCCTCCTCCTCCTCCTCCTCCACCTCCTCCTCCTCATCCTGCTCCTCCTCCTCCTCCTCCTCCTCCTCCTCCTCCTCCTCCTCCTCCTCCTCCTCCTCCTCGCCCCGACATCCTGCGGGAGCGCGAACGCACAGCCACGCCGCGGCGAAGACGACCTCGACGACGCCGTCAGCGACGGTGCCGGCGACGGCATCGTGGCCTTCATCGTTGTCGTCGTCGTCGTCGTCCTCGTCGTCCTCGTTGCCGTTTTCGTCCTCGTCCTCGTCGTCGTCCTCGTCCTCGGACAAGCAACTGCACGGTTTGCGAGCATCGGGCCGCGCCGGACCGCCGGTGGCATCCACATAGAGCCGGATCGAGCTGGGTTGGCTCGACGACGAGTCGGACCGATCGAATCAATGTACGAATCGATCAATCGATAGATCGAGTCGGATCGATCGCATCGAACTTGCTCGAAGTGGGCCTCCGAATCGGATCGATCGAATCGATGGGCCCTGCCCCCATGAAACAGGATAGGCCCTGCCCCTATGAAACAAGATGGGCCCATGGGCTGGAAGCGGCCAGGTCGCCGTCCCGCCTCCCGATCGCCGCGAGACTATATTCCAGCCGCCGGCGCCACCAGTATCTCCGTCACGTGGGAAAGGCGCTCCGCGCAGTGACAGCTCCTCCACGCGGCGTCCCCTCCCCATGGTTTGGCGGGGAGCCGGGGGGGAAATGAGAAGGGGCGGGCCTTCTCAGAAGGCTCGGAAGTCCTCTGGCCTTTTTGTTCAAAAGTTTTCTGAGCCTTCCCCAAAGACGCAGAACACTGCTCAGAGGGGCTTCTGAAAAAACCCGCCGCCTTCTGAGAAGGCCTTCTCCTGCTCGCTTCCCCCCCTCGCTCGCCGCTGAGTGGAGTTTCTGCTCTCCTGCTCCCCCTCCCCACGTGACTCCCTCCTCGTCCCAAGCCTCCCTCGTCTCCCCCTATCTTCCTCCTCCCTTCGCTCCTGCTTCCCCGGAGGAGGAGGAAGGGGAGGAGGAGGAGGGGGAGGAGGAGGGGGAGGAGGAGGAGGAGGAGGAGGAGGAGGAGGAGGAGGAGGAGGAGGAGGAGGAGAGGAGGAGGAGGAGGAGGAGGAGGACGAGGAGGAGAACGAGGAGGAGGACGAGGAGGGCCCCAGGGCCCCTCGGGGCTCTGACCGCCCCGCCGCGGGCGCCGCCACCCCTGAGGGCCCGTGGGCCCGCGCGGCGGGGGCAGCGGGCGTGGGCCCGCCAGGGATCGGCGGTGGACAAACCTCCCTTTAGTAGACCTCCCCTCAGTGAAAACAGCCTGGGACCGAAATCGACGGACCTGGACCCGCAAAAAGAACGGCTGCGACGCCCTCTCGCGCACCGAGATCGGCCAATTCCTCAATCGACGTGTCAGGGTAGGAGGCCTGCCCGGAACCAGCGTGGCGGCATATAGGGGCCTGACAAGCTGTACTGACACGGGGTCTGAATCGTCCCAGGCTGCGCGCTATTTTTCCGCAGGTAGTCCAGATGCTCCTCGACTGGAGCAGTACCTGTTTCGCTCCCCGGACGGAGGTCTGCCCCACCCCGAAGGGATGCGCCTGTGGCACGCCAAGGGCCTCCAGGCCCCCCCCCCCGTCCCCCCGGGAGGGGCCGGGGGACGGGCCGGGCAGGCGCGGCGAGCGGCGCGCTCCCCCTCGGGGCCGGCCCCAACGTTGAGTCGGGCGCGTCCGCCTACAGGAGGATTTTCGACGAAAGATAAAAATACTCCAAACATACTCCAAAATGGTAGAAAATGTTCAAAAAATAGTCTCCATGTTATTTTTGGACTATTTTTGAATACTCCCTACGAGGGGATTTTCGACGAAAGATAAAACATACTCCAAAGACACTCCTAAATCGTGAAAAAATGTTCAAAAATGGACTACTTTTGAATATCCCCCTGCAGAGGGACAGGCCCGACATAACCCCAACGCTGGGCGAACCTCGCCACCCCCTCACTGCCCGGGGGCCGATCGCCCCGCACTTGAAGCAGGGCGCCGGGCGGCCGGGCGGGCGCTGCAGGCTCGGCCAGCGCGGGTGCGAGGGAGGGCGGGGAGGAGGGGGGGGGGGGAGAGGGGCGGCGAGGAGGAGGAGGGAGAGGGGAGGGAGGGGGAGGGGAGCTGGGGAGGGGAGAGGGGCGGAGCGAGGGGCGGCGAGCGAGGCGGGAGGACGGGCACCGAGAAGGGGAGGAGGGGGGGGAGGGCAGCAGTGGCGGCAGGGCGGGGGAGGAGGGCGGCACGTTTGCCTGCGCGCTGCGTGCACCAGCGCCGCGCAGGAGAGCCCCAGGCAGCGGACCTTCGCCGCGAGCTCCCCGAGGTGATCTGCGTCGGTGGGCACCCACTCCGCCAGCCCCGGGCGGCGGCGCCCACTCCGCCAGCCGGGCGGCGCGGAGCGCAGCAGGTCCCGCCCGAGCAGCGGACCGGCAAGTGGTGCAGCCCAGCCGGCTCACGCCCGCACAAGGCGCAGGCGGTCGGCAGGTGGGCCGCCCCCACGCCCCAGGTGGCAGTTGGCAGCTCGGGCGTGACGCGCGCCACGCACCAGGCGCGCTGGAACCTCCACTGGGTCTGGCCCCAGGAGGCCCAACGGAGCTCCTCCCGCCAGGCCTGCCGCAGGGGGGGAGAAAAGCAGCGACGGGCAGCAGCCCCTCGTCGTTGAGCTTTGCCGGCTGCTCGCGAAACCAAGCCCGGTCCGCTTCTCGCACCTGCGGGATGACGCACCCAAACCACCGACGTCATGTTTTTTTCATGACGCGGCCCCCAGAGGTCCAGACCCCTTCCCCAGAACCGGTTTTTCATCCCGAGTCGTTTTTTGACGGTCTCGAGGCCCGGTAAGGGCCCCCGGGGGCCGAAAATGGCGAAAAACCTCCCGTCGTGATTTTTTCACGACCCGAGGGGGTCTGGGCTCCCTGCGGCGGGCCGCGGGCCCCTCCGCCGCCGCGGCTTTCGGCTCCTCGGGCGGCGGCCCCACCCCTCCTCCTCCTCCTCCTCCTCCTCCTCCTCCTCCTCCTCCTGCTCCTGCTCCTGCTCCTGCTCCTCCTCCTCCTCCTCCTCCTCCTCCTCCTCCTCCTCCTCCTCCTCCTCCTCCTCCTCCTCCTCCTCCTCCTCCTCCTCCTCCTCCTCCTCCTCCTCCTCCTCCTCCTCCCCCTCTGGGCCACCGCGGCCGCGTCCTGGAGCCGAGTGCCCCCTGCCGCGGGCCAGCGCCGCCTGGACTGCAGGCGCGACGGGCGAGCCTTCCATGAGCGCAAGCAACCGAGCCCATGCCAGAATGATGCGCTGGGCGACTTTGGCGGCCACGCGCGTCAGAAACCTCGCTCCAGGAACACGCGGAGGTAGCCCTCATCGCCAAAGGACGTGCCCGGTGGGGGCCCCAGGAGCGCCTACGCTGCGTCGTAGTATGCGCGATTGAGCTGGGCCGCGACCGCGGCCCAGCCGCGCGCATGGCTCGCAAGCAACTCCGTGCCATACAGCGCGGCGGATTCAACGCGGCCCGGGACCTGACCAACGATCATAGGGAGGCCGAACCCCCTATCCCAGAGGGCGGCCGTCAGTCGTCGCGCGCCGTCCCGGAGGATGGCGCGGGTGCGCTTCAGGAGCGGGTCCAAGGAGAGCTCCGCGTCCACTGGGATGCGCAGGATCTCAAGCTGGCTGACAGCGCGGACCCCGACGCCCCCGATGGTGCCGCACCTGCTGGGATCCACGGCCGGCAGGCCCACCGCCATAGCAGCGGGGCCCTTACTGCCGTCCTGGCAACGATGGCGAGAGGAGGAGGTGGAGGAGGAGGAGGAGAAGCAGGAGGAGGAGGAGGAGCAGGAGGAGGAGGAAGAGGAGGAAAAGGTGGAGGATGAGGATGAGGAGGAGGAGGAGGAGGAGGAAAAGGAGGAGGAGGAGGAGGAGGAGGAGGAGCTGGAGGAGGAGAAGGAGGAGGAGGGAGGAGGAGGACGCGCCTCCCCGCGTGGTCACTTCATCTTCCCCAGCCTCCCTCGTCTACCACCAGCCTCCTCCTCCCTTCGGTCCTCCTGCCGTCGTTCCTCTTCTCTTCCACCTCCTCACGCACCATCTCGCCTCGAGCCAGAAGGTTACGGATCATTCCCCTCCTCCTCCAACCCCCCTCCCTCCTCCCACCCTCCTCCCAACTCATCCCCCACCCACTGTCCCCACTCATCACATTTCCTCCTCACCCTCCTCCTACCTCCTCCCTCCTTCCTCCTCGTACCCCTCCTCCTTCGCCATGCCCCTCCAGCTACGTATCTCTTTCCTTGTCCCTCCCTCCACCTCCCTCTATTTCGTCTATTTCGTGGGAGAGAGACTCAGTGACGCGGACGGTTCTGCATCGGATGCTGGCGCCCTCGTGGGCTCTCTCCTCTCTCGACCCTGCCACGGCGAGGGCACCACAGTCAAAGCACTGCTCGTCCTCCTCCTCCTCGTCCTCGTCCTCGTCCTCGTCCTCGTCCTCCTCCTCCTCCTCCTCCTCCTCCTCCTCCTCCTCCTCCACAATTACACAATATGAAAATACTCTCCCACTTCCCCTGATGGCGTCCCAAAGATATCCGACCCCCCCCCGCGTACTGTTTTTCTACACACAGGATTCCCGGGAAACGGTTTTTCGCCTGCGTTTTTTTCAAAATGCTGCTCTCGCTGAGGCGCCGGCCTCATTTCTGCTCCCGAATCTTTCCGAATCGTGCTCCCGCTGCAGCGTGGGCCTCATTTTCGGATCGGTGTTTGGCCTCCGTCGTTCAGGATGGCGTTCTCGCCCCAGCGCGGGCCTCTTTCTCGCGCGCCCATCCGCCCGCCACCACCGCGCCGCCGCACCACCACCACCACCACCACCACCACCACCAACCAACCACCACAGCAGCAGCACCAGCAGCACCACCACCCACCACCACCACCACCACCACCACCACCACACACCACCACCAAACCACGCACACACGCACGCACGCACGCACGCGCACCACCACCCACTACGCACGCGCGCGCGGAGCCACAGGTCCGCTACGACACGCGTCCGCGGATAGAGAAAATCAGCGCCATGGTAAGGGATGGGAGGGAGGGGTAGGACATCAGATATGACGCGAGCGCACCTAGCTTGTCCTCCTCCCCCTCCTCCTCCCCCTCCTCCTCCTCCCCTTCCCCCTCCTCCGGGGAAGCAGGAGCGATGGGAGGAGGAGGATAGGGGTAGACGAGGGAGGCTGGGGACTAGGAGGGGGTCACGTGAGGATGGGGGAGCAGGAAAATAGAAACACCATTGTGCGGCGAGCCAAGGGGGGAGACGAGAAGGAGAAGGCCTTCGCCAAAGGCAGCGGGACTTCTCAGAAGCCTTCGCGCCCTCTGGGAAGTATTCTCCGTCTTCGGGGAGGGCTTCGACAACTTCTGAAAAAAAGGCCTGAGGACTTCCGAGCCTTCTGAGAAGGCCCGCCCCTTCTCATGTCCTCCTCCTCCTCCTTCCTCCTCCTCCTCCTCCTCCTTCTCCTTCCTCCTCCTCGTTCTCCTTCCCCCTCCTCCTCCTCCTCCTCCTCCTCCTCCTCCTCCTCCTCCTCCTACAGTCCTTTTCCTTATACATAACTTCTCCCTGTCGCACCCTGAGGCCAGTTTGTCGGACGGGCCGGGCGTTTCGCCTGAGGCTTCCTCAACATTTATGA